CCCCCAACCCCCCCATCCCCAAAAGTTTCTCAGCGGATTTGGGCTGTACTCAGCAAGCGCAGTACAGCTTCCAACTCAGATCTGAAAAAAAATTAGTAGATGGTTGTTTTCTGACTGGTCGGCAGACCGCCGACCGGTCGGCCCTACTGGTCGGCTGCAATACGGTCGGCGGTCGGGGTCAGCGGTCGGCAGGGATGCAACCATGGTATACGATAAATTGATAATGTTCACTTTCAAAAGACTATGAGAAGTCGTTGAAACCGCTACTGGTAGCTCCAGATGCCATAGCAGTGATTTCTCCTAACAGCTAGTGAATAGACGGGTAGGTGGTCCACCCCACCTAGAGAACCACCTACCATCTTTCCCCAAACACAAGAACGCACCCCGATCCTAAACGTATACAAGATATCTTTCCGGTTGAATCGTCCAGTTGTAACGAAGGTGTTTTGCGTTCGGGGAAACACAGTGCCAGTGGCACCAAAGGTCCAAGCTATGTGTGCCACTAGCGCCCCCCTCCCACCGCCCTCCCGGCACCCCTCCGGAAACGACAGAGACGAATCTTTTAGATTTGTGGAGAACAAGGGGATTGCCGCGCAAAACGAAAAGATGCGTTGCTGTTCACAGAGCTGCCAAAGGTAAAAAAGAAGAAGTTTCAAGTTAGTCCCTTTTTTTTTTCCCCTTTTGCATTCCAAATTCAAATTGCTTCTCCATGTTCTCCTCTGGCCCTGTGCTGCAGCAGGACAATGTACCAACACTCTGCGACCTTCTCCTTTGCACAGCTACAGACACTGTTACACTCGGCCGTAGCAGCCATCATCTCTGTCACAATCTCTACAATGACATGGTTTCCGCATCCGTGTGCGTCGACGACTGTTTCTCCGTTCCTGACTGCAGCCACTCTCATCGAGAGCAGAGCGGATCTCAGGTCAGACGCCGTGGGACCTGAAATCCGCTCTGCGGAATCCCCCAGGTATGATGACATCAACGTCACGCTCGATACCGGGGGAATAACGTGAAACTGAATATAGTTGAATGCTGGTGCAAATCGCATTACGCTACCGACCTCCTGATACGTTCCCCGATAGCTTTTTCTAGTTTTCCTACTCTATTTTTAGATTTCGTTGTGCAAAACGTTGTCTACAAGCAAAACACCAATCTCAGGTTTCCCATCCAGATTATCCATTTCCATTTCTTTTCTTTTTCTTTTTTTTAATTTTTTTTCCATTTCGTTCAAATTTTGATCTCAATCATCTCATCTGATAACAGCGATTTGAAGTTGGTTGCTTCAACGAAGACTCCAATGATCCACACATTCCACATTCCACACTCACACTCGCACTCGCACTCGCACTCGCACTAGAGCATTCAATTTCTAGTCCGTTTCAAACAAACATATTCCATCACAGTTTCGCCGCAAGCGTTTTTTTTCTTGTAATCCATGCCCTGCATTTCAAATTTCATCACGCAAATTGTGTGTGTATGGAGATTCTGGATTCTGAGTTTGTGTATAGATTCTGCATGCGTGGAGATTCTCTGCGCGTGCAGACCCTGTGTGATTCTGTGTGCATGCTGAACAAGCAAACGCCATCCAGACCGCAAGGACATTGAGAACAATCAGACGATCAGGCTTCAACAACAACAAAAAAAAAGAAAAACTGTGCACTTTCTGTGAATGCATTTGTGCTGTGATGGTGTGTTAGAAAAAGGTGTTAGAAAGACGATCGAGCTCACGCAACCTGTACGGCGTCATTGGCAGGTGTCTGAGGTGCTTTGCTTGGAATGAATACAAAAAACGGAGCGGGGGAGGGGAGGGAAGGGGGGCGAAAGGGAATCAACAAGGGAGAAAAGATCCAACAACAAACAAACACAACATCTGAAGAAAAACAGTTTTACAAATTTTAAGGCAAGCAGTGGCAAATCATTGTTGACTTGACGGCTGGTGCTTCTTCTCGTCGGAAATGGTGGGCGGCGGAGGCCAGCAGTTTGGAAGGAGATCAGGAAGTAGCTGGCAGGAAAGAAGGCTAGATGCCATCGATGAAGTTCGAGTTGGAGTGTTCCTTTTTAGGGAAAATTTGCAGACAGGCAGGATCAACATGAACGATGCTGGCTCCAGCATATCTCCGAACACCCCTGCGCCCAGCACCCTACCAGAAAGGAGACGCTCGCTCGCTCGCTCACTCACCTACACTCTCTCCCAATTTGAGTGAGATGGAATTTAACTGTGCCTTGTTCTCATGCAGTCTGGAAATGACTTTCCTCGCTCTGACGAGCTCCCGCGCCAAAACCTGTTGATAATAACAATATCAAGGCAAAAAAAAAAAAAAAAAAAAAAAAAAAAAAAAAAAAAATCACAGTAACAGTAAGAAGCACAAGTTGTAGAGCGTCAACAGATAATGAAATAGGTTCAGCCTGCTGATGAGTCGGTGAAACTCCTACGGCACAGTTTGTCACAGCCTCTCGTTTGTTGTCTGTCCTCTTCTCCCTCTCTGCCTACCGTTTACCAGGCAGTTCTCTATGACGATATAGGATATATATGACAGTATTATGACTAGATAATAGATATTGTCATGGGCTCATAGAGCATTATTTCATATATTCATGTAATGAAGAATCAAGATTGATTTCATACGCAAAGCAAAACATCAGAATGGATATCCAGAAATTTCATACAATGCACAGCGACGTTCAGACCCTTAAACCTCCAGTACCGAACGCTTTCCTCCAAAACTTTCAGCCATATGCGCACTGCAAAATGAAAGGGTCAGCTGACTGGGCCCGAGGGGGATACCGCGGGGATGAACTAAATTTCGAGTACCCCAACTTCGCCGATAGTTCGTTGAACTTGGATTCCTTTTTACGAAAACTTCCCGGAAAAAAAAAAATCCCAGGGTCTCGTGTATAGCTTCTTTGATATCGCAGAAAAGACTTCAAATAAGTCTTGTAGGATTCATTTCTGCACCCCCTTACTAACTCGCAGAAGTGGTTGATCTCCCAGGGATCAATCTGTATATGTGAGCCGACTGTTTGATTGTTGAATGCGTTGTTTTCCATCTTTTGGTTGAATTGGCGATAAATTGACTTGCTTGCCAGGAGAAGAAGAAGGAAAAAAAAACATAAAGGAGAAGATGATGATGATGATGAAGAGGAAAACGGACAAGGAGGAGGAGGTGGAGAAGTAGAAAGAGTAAATAGCATCTAAAGGGTGTTTACCGTATGCAGAAATCGGAACGCTGGCAAGGTATGAGCATCATGTGTCATGGGTGAGCAGGAAGTCAGGATCAGGTCTGTAGCAGTAGGTCTGCAATGTAGGGTGTAAGGACCTGCCAAAACACGGACCGAGAACGCAGCTGATTTCTGAGTTTTGCCGCTGGAATGTACGCCTTGCTGAGATTCCCGCTTTTTGCTGAGTTTTCTAAGTCTTTGTGTGTGCGACTTTGCTGGCCTGCGTGCCTTTCTGAGGTTTGCTGGTCTGCATGCCTGTCTGAGTGATTGTCGCCCTGAGTGTGTGTGTGGCCCCCCAGGGCACTTGTTTGCTTGGGAGGCCCGTAGGGCTGGTACTTACCTGTGGCCATGACTTCGGGGTTGCAGCGGGGAAAAATGGGCGACGGGGTAGCTTAGGGCACACTCAAGTAGCAGTAGTGTAGGCCCGTAGGTACTTGAGTCGAGGTAGGCCGAGCAGAAAAAGACAAGAAGTTGGTATTTTTAGAGGCCCAGTAGTGGTAGGCAAGTCTAGGCCGGTACCAGAGGTGAGATTTCACACATACAACCATAGATCATGACCAGACATGTAAGTACATGCAAGACGACCGATGATTGAAGTCCAGAAATGAATCCGACAAAACTTATTAGAGAAGCAGAAATGATCCAAGAGAACTGCAGGAACGGACTCAAGAATCTCTACAGTCTCTCCGCCTATTCTTCTTCTCCCCGAAACTTCACCATCTTTCCTCCATCCCATCCCAGGGCAATCCCGGTGCCATGTCGTGAAAAAGGACAATCAAAACGACAGAAACTCTATGAATAGTCTATATGCCTAGTTCTACTCTCCTACTAAGTCCGCCGTAAACTGCCACACTTCATCTCGCATGCGAGCGAAGTTGCGGAGCGCAGTTCCAAAAATCTTGTCCGGGAAACCCTTGGCCCTGTACTCTTTTCTCACAGTCAGAACCTGCTTTGGGATGTCTGCACAATCCGTAGTATTACGATCGATACGGTGGAACCAGCCTGAAATCGCAGCTAGCTTTTGTTTCCGACTCGACCAGGACCAATAGTCCTGGCCTGTTCTGAAAATGACTTCCCCCGTGGTCCACATTGTTTCCTCATTCTTCGTCCGCTGCATGCTTCCCAAACATGGGCAGCTCTGTCTGACCTGCATTCTGCAACCCAGGAAGTCCCAGGCCCCAGTTTTGTCATCTGTTCTCTTCAGGCTCAGCGCCTTAGGGTAACATTTTTCGAATTTCCTCCCAATCCTGTTGGCTACCCCAATCGACCTCTGGTTGCCCTTCCGGTAAGCCAAAAACAGTGACACGTCGTCCATAAGTCGGACCCCGTATACCAATCTCCGGTCTTTACCCAAAGTAACCAAAATACTACGGATCGTGCAGACATCCCAAAGCAGTCCAAGTAGTCTGAGTCTAGGGCCTGTGCGGACGATATCAGAGCTTGCAATACTGCTTCCCTCCGAAAGGGAGGAGGTACCGGTGGCTTGGAGGCCGTGCATGCTGCTTTGAGGCCACGCGGCACACTGAAGCAACCGGCCGCGAGGCTGGTCGCCTGCTATATCTCCAGGCAGACCAAGTTGCTCTGCCTCATTTGCTGCATGCAAGTTTGGGCATCACGGTGCTGGAGCACCTGGTGGAGAGCGCTAGTGTGCAGCGCTGGCGGGAAGAGCGCCAAGGCTTCCCACCTTGGCTATGATGGACAGCGCCTGGTAGGAGGAGGAGGAGGAAGAAGGGGACTAGGAGAGGAGAGCACCAGAGGTACTTACCTGGCTATGATGGATGCCATCTTCATGTTAGGCGCTGCATCTGGAAGGCCCCAGTTGGGCTAGCGCTGCATCTGGAAGGCCCTAGTTGGGCTAGCACTGCATCAAGAAGCTTCGAGACAGACTCAGGCATGGCGGCGTGAGGAGAGGAGGACATAGCTGCTTTTTGCGTTGTCTTTTGCACATCAGGGCAAGGCCCTCGGTAGTCCACCATAGCCTCGGCCTGAACGAAGTGAGAGAGGAGGGAGGCCATGGCTATGGTGGACCTATTGTTGTGCTGCTGGCAGTAGAAGAGGGATTCGGACATTCATTCTGGTTCAGCCATTCATCGTTATTATTATTATTCATTGTTCGAATAAGATGGGAGGAGATAAGGAGGAGGAGTTGGTTGGCAAAGGAGGGAATTGTCATTGGTCTTTTGCTGGTGTACATCTTCTTCTTCTTCTTCTTTACCTCTCTCTCCTCTCAAGCTCATTCATTTCTTTTGCAAGTGGACAGCATTGTACTTTCTTGTGAATTCGCACTTCAAAATTTGCGGGGATCGTAACAAGGTGATCGAAACAACAGGATCGTAACAATGGGTATATTATAACCCATTGGTGACATAGGCTGTGTGCTATTTCGGGGTTTAAGCGAGGGGATGGGCTAATCATACATAAGCCTGAATAAACGGGGTACTTTGGGGCTTCAAAATTGCAAATCCTCTGTGCAAAATTATGAGTAGGGCACTTATATCTAGTTGCAAGTTGTTTAGACAGCATAAGGGGTGCTCCAGTGAAAGACAAACATTCAGAAAACAGAAACCATTTCATATTTCCATCCAGATACATGTCCAATTCCAATTTCCCTCCAATTGAATTTCCCAATAATAATTTCAAAGAGTCAGGTTTCCCTCCACAGACCCGGATATATCTACACAGGCATCCGGATCTGTATGGGCTAAGCTCAAGCATAACCCACCCACCCAGCCACCCCCCCTTCTCCCCCCCCCTTCCCCTCTTCTCCTCTCGGCTGAAGTCAAACATGCTAATAAGTCAACAAAGAACTTCACCACCATCGCAAAGGGGATGGAATTAGCAAGCTGAATTCATCAGACATCAGGAAAAGGAAAGCCAAGCACCCAGGAAAGACCAGTTTCAACAGCATATTTGACATGGAAACAGAGAAAGAAGGCCAAATCTTTGCACCTTGGCGGATTGCATATCACCCCTTTTGGCAGCAATTTTAATCTCCTTCTGAACACCGACGCCATCCCTGCTAATCTCTGCACAGTTGCAACCAAACTTTTGTTACACAGTACCTTGCCGTCAGCTGCGCAATAGCAGAAATGATATGATATATTTTGGATAGCCTGTTTACTTTCTATATGAGGATTTATTTATTTATTTATTTATTTATTTATTTATTTATTTATTTATTTATTTTTATTTTTTTTGGGTTACACAGTACCTTGCCGTCAGCTGCGCAATAGCAGAAATGATACATTTTGGATACCCTGTTTACTTCTATATGAGTTTTTTTTTTTTTTTTTTTTTTTTTTTTTTTTTTTTTTTTTTTTTTTTACGGTTACACAGTACCTTGCCGTCAGCTGCGCAATAGCAGAAATGATACATTTTGGATACCCTGTTTACTTCTATATGAGTTTTTTTTTTTTCTTTTCTTTTTTTTTTTCTTTTTTTTGGTTGTTACACAGTACCTTGCCATCAGCTGCACAACACCGGAAATTATATACTTTGGATACCCTGTTTTCTTCTATATGAGGATTTATTTTATTATATTTCATTTTATTTATTAATTAGGTCTCTCATCGAATCACCTCCAAGAACCCCCCGGGCGACATTAATGTCATTATTTGACTCGTCAGGCAAGGAACAGTTGTAGTAACTCAGATACAAACAGCTTCGCTGGTTGTCAACAACAACAAAAAAAACTACCATAATTACAAAGTGCTGGCGCTCATGGTCTTTTGGTGATTGCAAATAAAAGTAGTGTACTTACACAAGGGCCCCTGAAAATCGCAATGCAATGATTCGTAATTTCGTACTAAATAAACCCTGATCCAACCAACCAATCACCTCCCACCTTATCCCCTTTCATCCCCGGAGAAGAAAAAACACAGTCTTCTTGACTCGGAGCCTTGGAGGGAAGTAGAGGTGGTGGCTTGGGGGAGGGGGGGAAGGGGGGGAGGGAAGTGGGGAAGAAGGCAGTAAAGGAGGGGGAAGGGGAGGGTGGAGGATGCCTTTAACACCCCCCCCCACACACCAGGCCTCCCTCCTGATAAGTGGGATGCAATCAACTAGCGAGAGATGACAAGAGGATGACTACCGTCTTCACCTGAATAGAACGCCCGGTCATTATAGCCGCGTATTTTGGTGCAATTTTCAGTCCAGATAGAGCGATAATGACTGGGCGTTCTATTCGGGTGAAGACGGTAGTTCTGAGAAGGGCTAAACCCCAATACCGAGAGGGTTTGCCAAGCTGCTGTTCTTCCCGAATAGAAAGCATGCGCATTAATGCCATATATATCTGACTGACCCCGAAAAAAGAAATTACATTTGAAAACGTCATAAACCGAGTTGTCCTTTGTGCCAGTGGGTTCTTTGTCTTCCCTTGCTCTTTTTACCTTTTTTTAAGGCTGATTATTTTCAGCCCAACCAATTCCATTACCTGTCGAATCTGGACAGAACGGCCTTTCAGGCCCTTGTAATGACCCGTCAATACACGGACTGAAACATACAGTCGATTTCTGATTTCTGCTCATAGGATGCATGCCGTACTAAGTTCCCTGCCTGTCGATGTGTTTGCTGGGTCTGAGTGCGTGCTTGTTTGTGGGTTGCATGACTGTGTGTGGCCTGCATGTTGTCGGAGTGCCTTGAGTGTGTGTGTGACCTGTATGGGTCTGTGATGACTGGGCAGGCCCGTGGGAGGGCCGGTACTTACCTGTGGCATGGCGTTTGAGAGCTGCAGCCGGGGATACACTCAAGTGGTGTCGATAGCAGCCCC